GTACTGGAAAGTTGTAAATGATGCAACAGTTCCCCCCTCCGCCTCCGGGTCAGACATACCCGCCACCAGCTGGGTGCCACAGAGCAGTTAAAAAAACCAGGAAGTAAAACCTGGCAGCAGACAGGCCGTGGGACACGCTGTCTGTCTGCACAGTGCATGAAACACAAGCAGCCAAAGCGCAACATGCACTACCTACCTACCTACCTACCCATGTGAATAAACATTTATATAAACTTGCAAAAAACCATGTATATCATGGAAAAAAAATATTAGACCACCCTTGTTTTTTTTTGTTCATTTTAATGCCTGGTACCACAAAAGGTATATTTGTTTAGACAAATATAATGACTGAAAACAAAAATAGCTTGTAAGAGTTTAATTTAAGAGCTGATATCTAGCCATTTTCCATGGTTGTCTTGATAATAATCTAAATCACTTAAGTTCTTACATCAGCAGCTATGGCACTGTACAGTCAAAACAGTGCTTCCATGTTTTTTTTTTTTTTTTTTCTGTCTGTTTTAGTCATGTGATACACACAGGAGTTAGTACTTGATTGCATAACCATTGTTTTTGATGACTGTACACTTATGTTATTTCTGCAGTTACTTACTGGCTTTTAAGCTGTTAGCTAACGCTATACTAGGTTGGCATAACTACAGCAATGTTATTATTATTGTTATTATATTATTGCTAACATAAAGAGACAGGGAGTAACTTAAGCTCGGTCAGCACAACTTTAGCAATGCAACGTAAATGAAAAGCATGACCGACGCAACGAAGCACGCTTCAGTCGTCCTGACACATGGCAAAGAGAGTTAAAGTGAAACAGGAGGCATGTTGAGTCATTGTTAATGGCACAACGTCGTTATGAACTTATCTGTCAGTATCTCTGCTTAGCCCACTCCTGTCATTCTGCCTGGCTGTAGCTGACTCCTGTATTACTGAGAAGACGGAGGTGAGGACTGAAGGATTGAATGGAGTGAGAGCTCCATCTAGTGGACAAACGGCGCAAGGACAGCATTCTGCACAACTGTGACACTTACCAGCATTTACTGTTTTATGAGAAGATAACCAGATAACCAGAACATCACCAAAATTAAAACATTTGTTCATTGTGCCATTATCCACATTTCCTGAAAATTTCATGAAAATCCGTTCATAACTTTTCGAGTTATCGTGCTAACAAACAAACAAACAGGTAAATGCTGCTAAAACATAACCTCTGTGGCGGAGGTACTTATGACACACATAGTAAACAGGGAGATAGCCTCCACAGTCCAGTTAGAAAGCTGCTGTTTGGACAGAGCTTCACCTTTGACTGGGGCAATAGCTCAAGAGCTCAAATGCCACAGAGCTATAGGGATGGCCTTTGGGTAATACCCTGCATTTGAGAGTAATGTAATCTTAGATCCATCCGAAGAGAACTGAGTACAGGAGGGATGCACAGACAAAGCATGAAAGTCGCCTATATGCTTAGCAGAGCATAAAGTGAGAAGCAGAGCCAACTTGTATGAAAGAAATTTCATATCACCAGATTCAACAAGTTCAAGGGAAGGACTACAAAAAGCCTCAAGTACCAATGACAAGTCCCTTGAAGGGATGCTGGATTTAACTGCAGGCCTCAGCCGGCAAACCTGTTATTGGAAACACAAGAACAAACACCTGACATCACACCATCAAATCCAACATGACAGACAGATATAGCCACCAAAATAAACTTTTATTGTGAAGAACATCAAAACATTCACTTGAAAAGCAGGACATTTCAGCTCTGGCACCACTGTTCAACACGCACCATTTATATACACATAAGTGTCTAGTGAATGATGCCCATGCACTCTGAATTGTCACCACCATTTTAGGGGGCAGGCCTTTAGCTATTAAATTGGACCTTTCAACAGGTAGGCATGCAGTCGCCATGGTTCTGGGAATGGGTGAATCACCTCTCATCCTGCTTAAGATAGGAGATCCCTGCAGACAGGGAGCTGCCAGGGCCTCGCTGCCGGCAGACTGATTAGTACTTCCTACTTAATGACTTATGACCACCATGACTTCGCTGGCCACCGAGGGGTCACCAGGTTCAAGGTCAAGCCATGTTGATGTGTCCTCTACAGAATGAGCAGTATCATTTCCACTGGGGGAAATGCATACAGGGTAAAGAGATCCATTTCTGCCCAGCTGAACCGTACCCATATCTGAGCCACGACTCATAGTTGCAACTTCCATTCTCTCACCAGATGTCGCCATCTGGAGAGAAGGTCTGCGCCCTCATTCAGGAGACATGGTATGTGGGTGGCTCTGACAGACAGAACATGAACAACAGAGAGTAACACATGTTTAACAGGGGAACTGGCTTGGGAAGTGACCATAGCGTTGTTTGTTTTGATCAGAACATGCTGGTCTGTCAGAACTGGGCAAAAGTGCTGCAGCGTTACGAAAACTGGCAGCAGCTTGAGGTGGCTGGTGTTTGCACTTAGCCAATGTTCAGATCCCTCCTACCACTGGACATACCCCGAGCGAGAGAGAGAGAGTGAGAGATCTGGCAGCAGTTCAGGAGCAACTCAATCTTCCCAAACACCACCTTGTTACTGAATCCCCAAACAGATGGGGTTCATATCACAAGATGGTTGCAAGAGTGCTGGAACAAAGGGCCATTGCTAAAGTCTGTGCTTCAGACAAAAAGCACCCGACACTAGAGCCATGCATGAAGCGAGTTCTCTACTGGAGTTAATGCTTCATGCATGGACTCGAGTGTCAGGTGCATGAAGCATTAAGTCCTCTACTGGAGTTAATGCTTCATGCATGGACTCGAGTGTCAGGTGCATGAAGCATTAAGTCCTCTACTGGAGTTAACAGATTCCCTTTCTGGGATGTTCTACATGACAGTGTCATATGTGAAGCCTCTTCTCCAGCTGGTCAGAACAAAATTACTGAATGTTAGTGAAAGGGACACCCAGCTCACAAAAGACTTGAAGAACAACAACATGGCATACTTGATGAAAAGTATGCAGACAAGGTAACTTGACATGGTTGCTGTAGTTGATCGGAGATTCAAGGCTCAGTACATCAAGCCAGAAAGGTAGAAGCTATGGAAACAAGGGCATTCTCTGAAATGATCGATGATGTCCAAGGACAATCCCACGCAGGGGCTACAGGTCCAAAAGCAGTTGCAGAAGGACAAGTTGATGATGGACCACCACTACCACTGAGTATAAAGAGGCAATGAAAGTCCTTGGACAATTTCTTTAAAAACCAAACCCCTGACGCAGATTCCTCGCCTCACACTAAAAGGCAAAAAGTCAAGAGCAAACCAGAAAGATACCTGATGTCTCCTGATGCAGACTGAGTCAGAACCCACTGACTAGTGGAGTCACACATAACCACAGCTTCCCAAGAGTGTACCAAGAAATGTTTGTGCACACCAGTAATCAGCACCCCCTCCCTATGAATTTTCAGTACAGGTGGAAACGTTGTCAAGGCAGCGTAAAAATCTGAGCGAGTGAACCAACTTGTCTTCTTTGCTCGCAGTTTGAAATGATGGGAAGGGTTACCTTTACCCAAGGAGAGAGTGCACATGCGCACCGTTGAGGGATATGTGCTGCCTGTCAACTGACTTGGATGTCTGTAGGTGGAGGCCTGTCGCCCGCTAGTGTGCCGATGAGGAACAGCCTCACCTGACTGCTCTGATTTATTTGGTTTGCAGTTTTCTGAAAGTGCATTCTTTTTTTGTTGCAACATTTGTGCTCATGCAAACAACTGTGGGCATCTTTATTGGGGCACTGATGGAGTAACAAACATTGTGAACATTTGTGATGGTCACCAGAGAAACATTTAAAGCCCCTGAACAGGGGCCTCCTTGAGACAACAAAAGTGCATTTGTATGCATGGAGGAAATGTGCTTGGGAGACTGTGTTAGGGGAGTCCAGTGCTGTTCACGACTGAATCTGAATCCAGAAGTAGAAAGGGAGGCAGAGCCTTTAGTTATCAGCTTCTCTGTTGTCGAATCAGCTCCCAGTTTGGGTTCTGGAGGCAAACACTCTCTTTACTTTAAGATTAGGTTTAAAGTTTTTCTCTTTGATAAAGCCTATAGTTAGGGCTGCTCAGGATCACCTGAAGTGTCCCTTAGGTTGACTGCTGGGGGATTCCAATGATGTACTGAGTGCCTCTCCTCTGTCTTCCTTCCATACAGTTCTAACCACCATTACATGTCACTAACTTTGTTTCCCCCGAGATCCTGTGTTTGTTCTCTCTGCAGACGTCTCTGGATCTGGAGGTTCACGTCTCTGATCTACAGCCGCTGGCCTCACCAACCCCCAAAATACTTACTGCTCTGTTGTACTGATGCTCTCCATCTGTTATTCCCACCCCCCTCATCCACACTCTCACCCAACCGGTCGAGGCAGATGGCCGCCTTTCCTGAGCCTGGTTTTGTCAAAGGGTTTTTTCCCCTCCCACTTGGGTTTTTTTTTTTGGCTCCTTCCCACTGTTACCAACCGCTTGCTCAGAGGGAGTCCAAAGGCAGCTTTGGCTTGTTGGGTTCTCTGTTAAAAATTCGTAAGGTCTTCACCTTACTACGTTAAGCACTGTGAGATGACATATGTTGTGAATTGCACTATATAAATAAAATTGAATTTAATTGAATTGAAACCCTGAACGGAACTTGGAAGGTGCCTCTTGTGTGACAACAAATGAGGTGCAGCGATGCCTCTCCCCTGCTGGACCCCTTCTCCACTTGGTCCCTGGGTTAGGATGACAGATTTTTCTTCTTCCTTGGTGTTAAGTTATTCTCAAGGCCCGGAGGCAGGCCTTGCTGTAAGTGGAGTGGTGGGGAGGTTGAGCAGTCAGCTCCAGTTTCACCCACTGGGAACCTTGGCTTGCAGATGGCACTGGCCTCTTGAGAAGGGGTTGTGGTGCTGCAAGCTTGCGAGAGCTGGAAGAGGATTTAGGGTTCACATCCTATCTGGAGATGACACTGCACAGAGCCTCTGTCTGTTCTTGCTCAGTTCAGATTTTGCCTGGATGGTGTGATTGTTCAATTATGCCCTCAGTGGAGACTGGCTGATCTAGATACATGGCCCTGTCTCTATCCAGGACATCAGACAGCTTCAGCCACAGGTGTCTCTGTGCCATGACCATGAAAGCCATCCTTCTGCCGAGGGAGAGTGCTGTACAGCAGAATGCATGAAGGGTGTAATCTGTACTAGGGCCTGACCGATTTATCGGCTGGCCGATTATAGCCCTTTTCAAAAATAATCAT